AGCCTGGTGGGAGGCGACTGGATCATGGGGGTAGATCCTTCATGAATGGTGCCATTGTCCTGACAGAGTTACCATGAGATCTGGTTGGTTAACAGTGTGTAGCATCTCCTCGCTCTGTCTTGCTCCTGCACCTGATATGTAAGACATGCTTGCTCGGGCTTTGCCTTTCATCATGATTGTAAGTTTCCTGAGGCCTCCCCAAAAGCCGAGCAGAAACCACTGTGCTTTCTGCACAGCCTGTAGAACGATGATCCAATTAAACCTCTTTTCTTTGTAACTTACCCAGTCTTTGGTATTTCATGATAGCAATACAAGAATGAACTAATACCAGGTCTCACTCAAAATGACACTTTCTTGGTGAAGTTATGTTGATCACCTCTGGTCTAAGACAGGATCCTCCTATTATTCTCTTTTGTAGGACTTGGACTTACTTTTCCACAGCATAGCACACACCACAATTTTTGTTTGTATACCTTTTTTTTTTTTTTTTTGGTGGTTGTTACACGTCTGCTAACCCAGTAGGACCATGTCAGTTGAGCCTGGTAGACTCAGGATATGGCATAAAACTGATGCTCTGTAAATATTTCTTGAGTTGACAAATAAGAGATTGAATGAACAAGGGGTGTATTCTTTTTATCTCCTTTAGTATAGTTGCTGTTATGTAATTTTAGCAAATGAGTACAAAAAGAGGCAAAGTAACCCAGAAAAGGGGCAGATGCTTACAAATTAGCAGAATAACAACTGAATCTCTGAAAGGCACATCAGAGAGGATGTGAAAGCATGGGCATGACATGTGGCAGCGAAAAGAGAGGCTCCAGTGACTTGGGAAGGCTCTTAGAAATGGATACTGCTAAGCTGCTTCAAAGAGAGGCTGGTGGATTGGGTCTGGGGAGGGGCTCCATCTAAGTCTGTGTTGCAGAGCAAGTTTGGTTTGCAGACACTGCAAACTTTAGGGTCATCTAAAGTTTAAATTACACTCAGGGAATACAGCATCCGTAGCAGGAGTCCTTGACTCGAATTTCACATTCTTCCCCATATTATCTCCTTCGTGGTGTTTTATGCTGACAGTGGTGATGTGATATAGACAGAGGCATTCCATTTCTTAACCGACGAAAGGAAAGCAGAAGAAGGAGTATGCCTGAATGAAATCGTACAAACAACACACGGAAGCTTTCTGTAGGGGGTGTCAGTTTTATTAACCATATCTCTGCAGTGGTCTCACCGGCCAAGGTATGCATATCTCTGCAGTAGTTTCACTGGCAAATACTTTATTAGGGTTGCAGTTTATAGAATTAATTAAGTTAATTAAGAAAAGATGACAGATGGGGCATGGTGACTCATGCCTGTAATCCCAGCTCTTTGGGAGGCCAAGGCGGACAGATCACTTGAGGCCAGGAATTCAGACCAGCCTGGCCTATATGGCAAAACTTCATCTCTACTAAAAATATAAAAATTAGCTGAGTGTGGTGGCGCATGCCTGTAATCCCAGCTACTCGGGTGGCTGAGTCAGGAGAATCATTTGAACCCAGGAAGTGGAGGTTGCAGTGAGCCCAGATGGCACTACTGCACTCCAGCCTGGGTGTCAGAGAGACACTCGTTTCAAAAATAAATAAATAAGATGACAGTGTAAACTACTAAAATTACATTGTATCTGTCCTTGATCATTTATTGAACTTAAAGAGATCAAATTTATCCAAACCAAAATGACTTCTATTAAAATGCTTTTGGGAGCATGTTTAGTATTTTACAAATATGAACACACTTTACAAATATATTTTATAAATGTGAACATTTTATCCGATTGGATAGAGATTTTATTTTTTAAAAAATCTTACTTTGGTAGTTGTATGAACAAACAGAATATCTATCATATTTTTAGTTATTATTGCAATGGTGTATCTTAAGATATATTTGTTCATCATCCCACTTTGCTTGTCTTCATCACTGAGAGGCTGGCATGTGCCCCTAAGGCAGCTTCACACAGCCACCTCAGGCCACCACGGTTCAGCCTGGGGGTGGTTCTGCTCTGCTCCCTGGGGCTGACTCCTGTGTGCTCCCAGAGGAAGGGCAGTGGGGCCTCAGCTGCAGGGAGGCCTCTAACAAATTTGGCCATGAAAGGAACTCTCTGAAACTGACCAGTAGTTCCACAGATAGTTTTGTAGATAAATAAAAATTGACCCTTCTGGTCTTAAAGCTTGAACTTTACATCTGTTCTGAGCTCCTTTCTCAGGAAACAGCCTTCAGATCTCTCTAAAAAGGTATCAACTGAAACTTACCAGGTCACCACATCCAGACAGTAAAATGCCTGACCCCTCATTCATCAAGATTGCTTCCTTGCCCCAACCTAGTTCCTGTTTTCCTACACATTGTTACATTTCTTCCTTGGTGTAAAAAAAAAAAAATACCCTAATTTTAGTTGATCAGAGAGATTAATTTGAGACTGACCTCCCATCTCCAAATAAAGCCTTCTTCCTTGTCACTGCAGTCATTGGCTTTCTGTGCAGGAAACAGCAGGACCTACACCAAACCGCTGCTGTTTCAGTAACATCTCCCCAAAGAAAACAACATGTAGGAAGGAAGAGCAGTATCTGGCACATAAACCAAGGAAGCAACATCAACTTCTTTGTTGTGCCTATTTGACATGCTTGGTGGCTCCATTTAGCAACGTTTTACCACTGATCTTCCAACTGCCTTGCTCTAGGCCATGCTGGTGGCAGAGATACGTCTGGTGCCCAGACCAACCCTGTCTCTGCTGTTCTCCATCCCTGCCTTCATGATGCCCAGCTCATACTGTTGTTTGATTTTCAGCAGTGTGATATTGATGGCTTAAACCGCCTCTGCCTCCATCAAATTTGTTTTTCAAATGAATGGAACTGTAATTAAAAGAAAAATATGACACTGTAGCATTTTTAACCAGTACCCTGGCATTTTCTCAAATTATTTATATCTTTCTAAAAGGTATTATATCAGTGCTTTCCAGTCTAAAAACCAAATTGAAATTTTTGATTTATATGCTACTTATAAGAGTAGGATTGAAGCAGAGGTCACAGGCAGTAGGAACATGTACTAACTTAATGGCATTTTCTTTCTTAGAAGACAAGATATTATTAAGACTGAGCAAGGAGGATGAAGATAAATCTAGAGCCATTCCGAGTACAGAGGAATTTCATTATCATGGATTTCAATGATACAAATTCTATTATTATTGGTGTCTAAAGATACAAATAGCACTATAGTTTTAATTTTTTTTATAGTTTTAATTTATATCCCAGGGATATGCCTTCAATTTTATCTTTTATTATATTTATGAGTGATTTAGCCATATTACAGCAATTGGGAAATAAAGAAGGCAACAGCACACATGGTCTCCTAAGCTACAGGCTCTTGCTGCAAGGAGGGACATTCATCAGCCTGAACTAGAACTACGACTCACTTTCCTGTCACAGGGAATATTATTATAACAAAACTGATGAGCTCTAGATGCAGAACTAGTCACTCTCTTCCCATTTCTACCAATAATATAAAACAGTTAATGTCTTCTGGTAACATAATTAGTTTTTTCTCACAAATGCTAATGAAGATAATATCTTGAAATTATAAACCAGCCAATCTTATTTACTTGTTTAGATTTTATTTAGAAAAACCTACTTTGAGATACATTTAAAATAGTGAAAAGAATATTAGCTTAGGATTCAGACTGGGTAAGAGTTTTGGTTTTAATTAGGATTATGTTCAATCTGTGATTCTTTAATCACACGCATACTCACTGAAAAAGAACCATTACTGATTACTTATGTTAATTAAATGTTCAGTTTAACCCTGGCACAAAATCATGAAGTCCTCTGGCGAAAGTTATTCTTTATTTTATTGTACTTTTAGTATAACATGAAAAAGTCCTTACTATCCTGTTAAACTTCTCATTATAAAAATAATATTACACTCAGACAAAAAAAGTTACACTCAGACAAAAACCACCACCCCATTGGTACAATATGGAAATATGAATCCCAGCATGAATAATTTCATAGGTATAAATAGAGTAAGCTGAGAGTTAAAAAAAAAAAAAACTAAAACAAAGACATATTTTGCAGATAGTCACCATTGTCATATAGCAGTAAGATTTAGGCTGTACATAATGGCCAAATGTGGATGCCAGACCAATTTCAGGTGTTCAGTAGCTTACAAGGCTACGTGCACAAAATGTGAAATAACAGAATTTCAAAGATGACAGTACTCAAAAAATAAGATACACAAAAGAGGATAATTATCTACCTTTTCTTACCAACGAAGCATAATAGAATCTTGAACATGTTTCTCCAGAGTAATTTCTCCACGACAGAATTATCATGGACAGTCCATTAAAAATCTAAAACTCTCAAGATGCACACTTCCAGCTTGGCCCTAGTGCAAGTCTCATGTCTTCTGAGAGGCATTCTCCAAATTCTCCAATACTTTTTATTCAAGCCCCATTCAGAACTCTTGAATTTGTCTATACTACAGATGTATCTATTATGTCAGAGACATTCAGGGGCCAGTAGAACACGATGCTTTTTTGAATCCTCTGCCATATCACAGTGCCAGATACATAATTTAGTACCCAATAAATATTTTATAATTCAAAAAATCTGTAGATACAAAAGATAACTTTGACAGATGTATGCGTATATGAAATTAGCAATGACCAAGAAGGAATGACACAAATTTAGTACTAGATTGATAACAAAAGATTACTGAAGGGTTTGCAGGCAGGTTGGTGGATCCAATATTACTATAAAAATGCATTAGGCCGGGCGCGGTGGCTCAAGCCTGTAATCCCAGCACTTTGGGAGGCCGAGGTGGGTGGATCACGAGGTCAAGAGATCGAGACCATCCTGGCCAACATGGTGAAACCCCGTCTCTACTAAAAATACAAAAAATTAGCTGGGCATGGTGGTGCGTGCCTGTAATCCCAGCTACTCAGGAGGCTGAGGCAGGAGAATTGCCTGAACCCGGGAGACGGAGGTTGCGGTGAGCCGAGATCGCGCCATTGCACTCCAGCCTGGGTAACATGAGTGAAACTCCGTCTCAAAAAAAAAAAATAAAATGCATTAGTCTGTTATTTTGTTAACAGAATATGATATTTAAGGGACCATGATAAGCCCTCACAAATTTTTCCATCTCTTCCCAAGTTCACTTGAGTAAACTGTTGCATAAAATATGTATGTTCTTAAAGTTGTTGCTTTCCAAAATTTGCTGAAAGGTATACATTGTTGTCTAACACTGACCTTTCTTTGTATGTGAAATGTCCAGGTGAGTAGCAAAAGCATCAGAACAGTTGATGATACAAATCTAATATAGTTCTCAGTTGTTAATTGCATAAAACAATGCAGACTAATTGATACAATGTAGACTTATGCTAGTCGCCCTGACACTTTTAATATCAAAGTATATTCTGCTTATCATGTAATCTGGGTGCCACCACACTATTGGTAATATATTGAGAAGCACATTCAGCTCTGTGGAAATCTGTTTTTAATTCCTGGGTAGTCATAAATGATGATTATAATGAAGAGCATGATGGTAATGATGACAGTAACCTTTGTGTGGTGTGCTAGAATGTGGAAAGCATCACCACTCTGGATATAGAAATGCTTTTTACAATGCCTCCTTTTCCAAATTAAGAGACTACTGTTCCAAATATTTTATAGGAGGAGAGGTTCTAATTTGATTTTTATCCTCAAATAGTTTTCTGAACACCACTTACTGAATTATATGTTTCCTATTAGTTATTTTGCATTCATTATCATACTATTAGCTCTTATGAATAGAGACTATTTCAGACCTACATGTTGTATCTATCTTTTTTGCTGCTGCTTTTGCTACTGTTTTAGAACCCAACATTTCCAGTTATAAATTTATCATTGTTTTCACATATACATAAGGGCCAGTCCCCCTTTTAACTTTCTAAGAGTTCTTGGCACTATAGCCTGATTATTCTTTTCTGCCTTTACAGTCTGTTATGAAAATTTTCAAACGGATATTTTAAAAATATGAAATTCACCATGAAGTTGTGTGTCATCCTCATAAGGTGCCATGTCAGTCTTTTCTGATTTTTTAGTTGTATTATATGTACTGCTAAATGAACATACCATCTGAGAATTTTGGAGTCTTTTCTGTCCCATGATTCTCTTCTTCTGTCTGGAATTGTTCTTCTATTGTAGTTCCTCTCCTACTTCTCCTGCATCATTTAATCAGCTCTACTTTACAAGATCCCAAAGTAGGCTTGTCCATTTTTATTATTTCTACTAGCATCCAGTATACTGCTACCACATAATAGGTACTCAACAAATACAGGTATGCTTTAACTGAAATGTCAGAAATTAAATACTTTTACTGATCACACAGCCAGAAAATAAAGGTTAGGATTTATATCCATTCCATTTGATTCAAAATCAACCCTACTCAGTGTCCCTACATAAGACACCATAAATGGCAGTAGTAAGAATAAGTAGCTGATGAGTATACTTCCCTAACATGATTAAAAAAAAATGTTTGCAACAAACCAGAAGCCAAGAACATACTTAATACCAAAAGCCCAGAGGCGTTCCCACTGAAACCAAGAACAAGAAAAGTATGTCCAATATCACTACTGTAACCTGGCATTTTTCTGAAAATTTGACAAATGCAGTAACAGAATTAGTTAAATAAGGAATAAAAATAGATTAATAAAAGATGATTTGAGAAAAAACTTGCAAATAATTTTAATATTACCTTATGAAACCCAGAGAATTAAAGGAAAACTATTGAAAAAATAAAAAGTTTACAATGTATGTATTTAGTAAGAAAACATGATACAAAAACTAGTGTTCGTTATACATCTGTATTTTGGTCTCAACTAGCTAGAAAATGTGCTAGAAGAAAAATCACACATCATATTGTAAAATATACACAAATTCTTTGTAAAACTAATAATTCAAATCTTATGGCATATAAACACCAAATACACCATTGGAACATAAAGAGATTTCAGGAAGAGTTGGTGGGGATATAAACTGGTACATTCAGTAGCTAAACAATTTGTTCACTTTTCTGAAGATGTTATACTTCATTACAATAAATACAAAATGAACTGTAACACTAAAATTATTTAACTTGTTTATTAAGTTAATGATAAATGTTAAATTCATAAATGTAAAAAATAAAATTTTGGGGAAATGATAGAATATGTTTTCAACATATTCTGTTTAAAAATCAGTATCAGAGAGTGACCAATATTTCTGCACACACTCAAATAACTGCTGATTGAACAGAGATTGGACATGCTCTGCTTACTTATGTTCATTTCTTCCATGACAGGTGTTGTGCTACGTTTATTGTATTAATACAAATAGACCAATGCATTTGAATGAGGGTTAATAGGAACAACCTTACTTTGTTGAAATGAGTATATCCATTTGAGTCTAGGAAAAACTCAGCAAAATTACTACACTTGTTAGTATTGAGAATTCTATGGTTGGAAAAGTATGAGCCAAAATAACAATCTAAGTATATATACATTATTTAATATAAATATATGTTATTTTGGCTCATAATTTTCCCACTATAGAATTCTCAATACCAAAAAGCATAGTTTTTTTTTTTTACAAATACTACATATATAATACTTATATTCTATATATTTTCTTTTATAGGTTTTTATTAGCTTTTTAGCCCAAGTGATTTGGGATCATTTCTAGAATTATTTTTAATGTCTAAATAGAGCTATTTATATTTATCAGAAAGCAAGTTTTCTATCAAGTGGGAGTTTGGGGGGTTTGTTTACTCACAGCTGCAGTACTATTAAAGGAATGTTTCTTCCTCTAGCAGAGGTGGATATTTTTTAGGTTTATTTCATTTTGCCTAGCAGGGTGATTATAGTTAGTAATAAAGTATTGTATATTTTTAAATAGTTAAAGGATTTTAAATGTTCTTACAAGAAAGAAATGATAAATATTTTAGATAATAGATATGTTAATCAATCTGATTTGATCATTTTATAATGTATACATGTATCAAAATATTCCTTTAAATCCCATAAACATACACAAATATTATTTGTCAATTAAAAATAAAAGAATATATTTTTGATTTTTTCTAAGAGTCAATTATAAGATCATTCAGTTGAAATTAAATTAAATTATTCTCTACAGTGACATTCTGGGAAATATCAATTTCATTATATGAAATTTAACCTCAATAAATAAATTTACAAATAAATACCAAGACCTGATTTCTGTGCATATTTGTAGAGTCTCAGAAATTCCCACTCGTCACAATTTAGATGATCAACACCACCAATCTTTATCTTTTCTTATACCTAACCAACAAGAAAATTCAAGTCCAGTCTTTTCCCTGATTCAGAATAAACAAAGGTCAAAGTCTCACAAAACATTGAAATTGCTATGGAAAGGGGAGTGAGTTAGTCTCTTTGTGAGTATTAGAAGATAGACAAGACAATCAATCACCGACTATTTTCAGGATCCATCTTTACACAAAATGTGCTTTAACTTTCCCACTAAATCCTAGGAATTCCCTGTCTGCGATATGAACAACCAGGATCATTGTCAAATTGACAGGAAATGTCATACAAATCATATCATTGAAGGAGAAAATAACGTTATTCGTTTACAGCAATGTTTTAGAATATAGTTAGATTTAAAATGTGTAAGAGTTCATGCATGCAATCATTATTCCTTTTACAAGGAAAAAAATTTTATAAACTGCAACTTACATCTCATGCCTAAAATTGTTACTAACATCCTAGCAAGAAATGCAAGTTGTTTAGAAAACTACCAGATGTGACAAAAAACAACAAAACCCTGAGGTAAGAAAAGAATAGTTCTTAGGATAAAGATAAAGCGGCATGGATTTGATATAATGTTATGTTACCTAGGAATTGTTGGTGTGATGTTATAAATACACAAGGTTAAAAGTTTTTTTGAATGATGACTATATAACACAAACTGAAATGCAGAGTCATTTACTATGTACTATTTATCATCTTAGGCCTGCAAATTCTGAAATGATGCCAATTATTAACCTATTAATTTTTTTAAATGTATACTGAGCACCTAATATAAGTACTGTGCTCTATAGGTGGATCTTAAGAGCTGCCGGGGCCATTCAGTCATTGAACACAGTTGTGTTAAGTTCTATGATATATAAGGCATAGTGCTAAGCGCTACAAATGCAGATACTATTTACAAAACCTGCTGTGCAATAGAAGTTTACATACATGTAACATAATGTGGTGAGGTTTATATGAGAGATAGGCTCAAATCTTCTAGGGATCCTATGAGGAGCTCATAATGGTTTATGGAGGTTAGGAAAGGCTGCACACATTTAATTTGGTTAAATCACACATTTAATTTTGTTTTCATTAATGGAGCTTTCAACTGATGATGTCCTTGAAAGTAGGAGTCTATTGCCTAGCAGGTAAGATTCAGTTCGGGATACCATATCTCTATCATAGAAATTCACCTGTACAATATATCTAATGCTTTGTTTCATCCTTTGGACTGCCTTGCTCTCCTTTTTTAAATAATGCTTTCTATTTTGGGAAGAGCAAGAAAATCAAAGCTCAACTGGTTGAATTCAAATGCTTTTAAGACAGTCAGAAGGGGAGGACGGGTAGGCAATCAGATATAGGGATATGAAGTTCAGAACACAGAATTTAAACTACAGAGAAAAATGGATTCTTCCATTTGGATGGCTACTATCTCAAACAGAAAATACCAAGTGTTAGGGAGATTGTTGAGAAATTGGAATTCTTGTGCACCGTTTGAATATAAAATTGAATTGCTACCATGGAAAACAGTATGGCAGCTCTCAAAATAATTAACAATAGTTTTGCCATATGATAAGATCAATTCTGTATTTGGATATATACTAAAAGTATTGAAAACAGGGCATCAAAGAGATATTTGCATACCCATGTTCATAGCAGCATTATTCACAATAGCTAAAATATGGGAGCAACCCAAGCATCCATCAGTGGATGAGCAAAATATGGTTTGTACACACAGTAGAATATTATTCAGCCTTAAAAAACAGAAACATCATAATATGCTATAACATGGATGATCCTAGAGGACATTATGCCAAGTGAAATAAGTCAGCCACAAAAAGATAAATATTATATGATTCCACTTACATGAGGTACTTAGAATAATCAAATTCATAGAGCAGAAATGCTGTAAGATTTAGCCTTGTACATATTTCAAATTGTACCCCAAAATATGTATAATTACAATGTCTCAATTATATATTAAAAACTTTTTAAAAGAAGAAAGTCAACAGTGGTTGCCAGGGGCTTGGGTGGAGGGGAGAATGGGGTGTTGTTTAATAGGTGCTGTGTTTAATTGTGCAAGAGGAAAGCAGTTCTAGAGATGGATGGTGGTCATGGTCACACAACATTATGAAGTTGCTTAATAGCACAGATCTGTACTCTTAAAAGTGGTTAAGAAGGTAAAATGTGTATAACATTTCACTACTATTTTTTAAATTTGGAAAAAATGGATAAGCGCCCACACTGAAATAGTAATGGAAGCCAATTCGTAGCATGAACGTAGGAAAGGGCCTAAGACTGAACTTGAGGAAGCCAGTGGTCAAGGGCTGGGTAGAGAGGACGAGCCTGTTAAGGGACGGAGAATGTGGTTCTGGAGGTGGGAGGGACCTAGATGAGCACAGTATGGTGGAAACCAAAGGAGGATAATGTTTTAGGAGGAAAGGGTCCAGTGCCACATGCTCCTGAGAATGTAAAGGGCATGAAGTTGGAAATTCCCACAAGTTTTAACAGCACAGCAGTCCTTGGTGACCTCCAGAATCGTGTCGTCCACCCAGTCTGGTAACACTTCATGACCGTAAACTCCTTAAGAGCAGGCACCTTGAACAGACCTCTACATCCTCCTGTTTTGCTTTTCACTTAAGAAGTGTCCAATATGGCCGGGCGCGGTGGCTCAAGCCTGTAATCCCAGCACTGTGGGAGGCCGAGGCGGGTGGATCACGAGGTCAAGAAATCGAGACCATCCTGGTCAACATGGTGAAACCCCGTCTCTACTAAAACTACAAAAAATTAGCTGGGCATGGTGGCGCGTGCCTGTAATCCCAGCGACTCAGGATGCTGGGGCAGGAGAATTGCCTGAACCCAGGAGGCGGAGGTTGCGGTGAGCCGAGATCGCACCATTGCACTCCAGCCTGGGTAACGAGCGAAACTCCGTCTCAAAAAAAAAAAAAAAAAAAAGAAGTGTCCAATAAATATTTACTACATAGTGAGCTCAGATGATGGTATTTACGGTATTTTGGGCAAGTGATGGAACTATAGTGTATTCTGAATTTGTTGATGGTTACACAAATCTACATATGTGTTAAAACTCATGGGCCTGTACGCCTCAAAATATTTCATTTTATTGTATCTTAATTTAAATTATTTTTTTAAAAAAATAGTAAGATTCTTTTTCTTATCTGGTGATGGGCCCTTGAGGGTTTATTACAAAATGACTCTTTAAATCTTATATATATTTTCTAAACAGCTCTTTGTATTTATACAAGATTTAATAACATTGAATTTTGAATTAAAATACCTAAAGTTTTGGCCGGTCACAGTGGCTCACGCCTATAATCCCAGCACTTTGGGAGGCTGAGGCAGGCAGATCACGAGGTCAAGAGTTCAAAATCATCCTGGCCAACATGGTGAAACCTTGTCTTTATTAAAAATACAAAAATTAGCTGGGTGTGGTGGCACACACCTGTAGTTTCAGCTACTCTGGAGGCTGAGAATCACTTGAACTTAGTAGGCAGAGGTGATTGCAGCGACCCAAGATCACACCATTGCACTGCAGCCCGGTGACAGAGCAAGACTCCACTGGAAAAAGGAAAAAAAAAATAAAAAAGCTAACGTTTTTAATTTAGGAGAAATAGAGAAAAGGTGGTAGGCAATACATGGAAATACATATGTGATTTAAGTCAATATTAAGATAAATGAAAAAGCAAGCAATAAAAAATGAATTTATCTCATTTTTTTTTTAACAGACAGGAATGGGCCACTTGCGTGTAACAAAAGATGGACTGCGCTTGGAAGGGGAATCAGAATTTTTATTCCCATTGTATGCCAAAGAAATACACTCCAGAGTGGTAAGAAAATGTTGAAAGACAAATAATTTGTGTTTTATGAAAAATAAATGTTTAAGCACAAATATTAAATATAGTTTAGAGAAGATTTTTAAGGTGCAAACGTACAAATGCTCATGATATGCTCTTTATAAAAAGATTGACTATTTGGTTGTAGGATTTATCACTGATATTACCTCCTATAAATATTTCATTTTAATGTGCTTCAGGTCTGAATTTGGTGGCCTCAGTAATTTAGACCATAATAAACTGAAGGTTTTAAAAATGAAAATCTTTACCAAGAACAATTTAAACTTCTTTATGTCAGAGCAACTAACTTAAATACATTTATATGAGGGCATTCAAAATTATCTAAGAAGCTTAGAAAGAAATTTGTTTCATTGTATTAACTTCTGCACTCATGCTAATAACAAATTATGATCCTGTAAGATTCTACGCAAGTCAGCATTGTCATTAAATAATTATATGACTTTAAAAGTAAATCAAGGTTTTCTTCATTTATCTTCATGGAGCTTAAGAACAAAGTGCAATAAGTTCAGACAATGTTTGCGATGTGTTCTATTTTTCCCTAAATCATGCTATGAGCATTACAGTAGGCATGAACATTTTTCTAGATTATTGATAAGTGGCATTACTTCCCCGACCCACACAAAATTAAAACTTCACCCAGCTGTAACTTCCTAGTTATTTGAAAAGCACAGTCTTCATTTTCCTTTCATATTTCTGAATATGAAAGGATATTTCAGTATCTTCTAACAGCAGAGGCTGTACCAGCTACTATAGGAGAATTAGAAAGGAAACAAAAGACTTTCTAAGAAACATGAGGACTTGTTAGAGAGATGAAACATACTCCCGAACCAGACATTCACCAAGCTCTACTACCAATTGCAAAATGACATGTCATGAATACCACAAAAAGAGATCCCACTGAGTGAAAAGTACATAAGTAGCTTTAGGTGCCGTTATGTTACTTCTGGGGCTATCTTATTGGCGGTAGGAGCTGGCAGATTACCTGCAGTATCAGAGGCAGGTAAGAGCCTGATTCTGTGAGGCTTTCACTTGCCTTATGTCATACACTTACCATAATCATGATGGTTTTTCAGTGTGTGAAACAATCCTGTCCTACAGGAGCATGAGGAATTAACACAAGCTTTCGTAAAAAGAGAAGTCAGACATGAATGAAGCATTCAGGTGTTAGAATTGGCCTTCTTTCTTCCCCAGAGTTGTGTTGGCTGATCTTCTGCCATATTTTGTGAAGAATCAGACTGGTAGAATGGCCTGGTGACTGGAATCAGGTGCTTAGATCACAGCAAATTTAATATTTTGGAATTAATAATAATTCTCAGTTATATTTTATGAGACTTTTTCATCTCCAGTATGCTTTTAAAAAAAGAAAGCAAAATTATAGAGAATATCTCAGATAATCACATATTGAAGTCTTAGAATGTGGCATTAATGAGTATGTCAATCAATACAGAAAATTCAGTAACAATTTGAATAATATTATCGATAACAGAGCTGTATGGTATTTTGTAACTAATACGGCTTTCCAATAAGAGCAGTCCTAGAACAAAACTGTGCTTTATAACTTCTGTATGTATTGACATATTAGTTATAAATTTCCTTTCCAAAGATGAGTCTAGGAAGCAATTTTCATAAAATTGCAGAAAAGAAATTACTTTGTGAATTTGCAAATTTTGACACATAACTCATTTATGTGTACTCATGGGCTGAGAGAATTTCTTCATTATAAATATAATTCAACATGCTACTCTGGCCTGTAATATCTGGTTACCCGGTAACCCCTCAGAAGTAATACATGAGGGCCTGTATTGAATTCATACTTTGAATTCATGGCTTAAACCTGTCCACTATGCCCATTAGTTCAAACACATAAGAATTATTTCCCTTAAAACAGAAAGGTTTAAAAACAAAGATACAGAGCCATGATTAAAAACTAAATGAAACAAACATGTGATAAAAAAAGCTTTACTTGAAATGATCGTCTGTGAGGTTCACAGCCCTGAAAAAAAGCTTTAAGTTACAGCCTAAGCCCACAGTGTGACAGGGAACAAAAGGTCACCTCGTTGGGACTTCAGGCAAGCCCGTTGCATGAGATGGCACTGAAGACAGAACATAACTACTATTTAAATAAAGTGGTTACAACTATTTGAATAAAGTTGCTACAGCTATTTGAATAAAGCAGCATATAAACATAGCTACAAATATTTGAATAAAGCAACATACCTGAGGGGAGGAGGATACAAAGATGCCAGTCCAGAACCTGAAAGTTACTGAAGATGGAAGCTCTAAGCCATCACTGAAAGACTGGGAGGCCCTACGGACCAAGTGAATACAACAGGAAAGACTTTAGGCCGGCTGGTAAGAGCAGGAAGGTAGACACATCCGTAGAGTGGAACATAAAAACTGAAATTTCATCGATGAAGTCTTCATCTTAAGAAAAGCCCAATAAACTTTACAAACAGGAAAATCAATATCCAACTAAATAAGGTCAATTTGAAAATGACTAGAAAAACATACTTAAGATTCTCAAAGAGATAGAGCTATTTTTAAAGGAGTTTTAATTTAAATAACAAGACATTGTAAAATCAGAAGAGAAATTATAAGGCAGAAATAACAGGGAATAGGTTGACCCTCCTGCATTAAACAACTGAAAAATGAAAAAATACATGAAACAGTTGTTTTCAAATGTTAGACAATGGACAGCTCAGGGGACAGTTATCCCTGCAAGAAGAAAAACCAGTGACTCCTCAAATCGCCTTAACTCACTGCAGGAAGAGAATTTGCAGGCTGCAGTGAGGGAGAGGAGCCGGTGCAGACACAGATGACCTCCCTGAGTTGAGAAGATAGGGTTGGGAGGCCAAGGAGACCCAGGCAGCTGCAATTTGCAAGACAGAGTACTGCAGAGGAGGGGCTGCTGTACATGGATGGTGCTCCAGAGATGGCAGAGGCTTCATCCCAGCCCACCCCAGTGAAGTCTATGGATAAATATTTACCGGTACATGTGTGTGAAGAAGCTACCTTAAGACTAGTGAAATAGCCACTCAAAGGAAGCAAAAGGAACAAGGCCTTGAGTTCTCACAGAATGGGGAACACTTCATGTTCCCACCAGAGACAGTGGAAAACTTCATAAATTATGGGCATCAGGTAGAATACTGAAGGGTGTGGCTGAGAAGTGGTACAAGATCAGCACTAGAAAAAATCCTGCTCTAGTCCATTCTAACAAAGCTTAACGGGAATCCTGGAAAGTGTCATGCTTTTTCCAAGTGATTTGCTCCATCCCAGAACAAAGTTCTCAAAAACTACATTTCATCTGTGTACAAAGGTCGAGGAAAGCATAATCATATTAACGAGAGACATAAAATATGGAAAACGGGAAAAAACACAAAATAATCTTCTAGAGATGAAAAGTATAAAATCTGAAATATTTTAAAAAGCCAGTATTGGGACTAACAGATTAATAACCAACTGGACACCACAGAAGAAAAGATTAGTGAAGTTGAAGACATAGCTATAAATACTCTCCAAAATGAAGCACAGAAAAAAACGACTAGAAAAAGAAAACAACAGAGTATCGGTAACTAGAGGGACAATGTCAAAAGGTCTTATGTATGTGCGAGTCTCCAAAGAAGAGGAAAGAAGAAAGGACAAATATTATTTGAAAAGAATAATGTGTAATTTTTTTCCAAGCATGATAAAAACTTGAAGCCCATAGATAAAACATGTTCAGTGAACCCCAAACAAAAGAAACAAGGAAAACTATAAGTTACATTATAATTAAATTGCTTAAAAACAAGAGAGAAAAAATCTTAAAGAGAAAACAGATATATCTAGAGAAAAAGGGTATATAAAAGGGGTGAAAAAAAAGATGACATCAGCCTTCTAGTCAGTAACAATTCAAGCCAGAAGACACTGAAGCACCAACTTTAAAGTACTAAAAGAAAAAAAGTCCAACCTAGCATTCTATACCTAGCAAAAGTATCTTTAAAAGACAAAGTCAAAATAAAGACTTTTTTGTACTTACTAAAGCTGAAAACAAGTTACTTCAGCAATCCAGCACCACAAGAAATACTAAAGAACACCTTTCTGGCAAAGAGAATGTGCTGCTAGAAGAAAAATCAAGATGTTCACCAGAAAATTTTTAAATACCAGAAATCATAAATATGTGGGTGTACAAAAAATAATGTTAAAAAATGTTAGAAGACACTTTGCTCAAAGCCAAAGGAGTAACAATGTATTTGGGGTGTTATAACACGATAAAAGTAAAATGTATGACAATAATGAAACAAAGACCGTAACAGAGAAAGATAGGACTGCTATAATGTTCTCACATCACACATGAAATGGCAAAAAATCATTGAGGATGGACCATAAGAAGTTAAAGATGCTTAGTATATCTAAAGTAAACTCATAAAACAAAAAGTATAGCTAATGTATCAACTAAGGAGATAAAAATGAAATGATAATTAATTAATCCAGAAGGAGACAAAGGAAAACAAAGAGAAAATTCATTGAATATGCAAACAAATAGAAATTTGGTAGATTTGAACCAACTCATATAAATAATTACACTGAAATAATCACATTAAATAAAAACGGTCAAAACATCACCATCCCAATTGAAAGACAGATTGTGAAACTGAACACAGAAGCAAGATCCAAGTAAATGCCATCTACAAGAAACCTACCTTAATTATAAAAACACAAATAAGTTAAAAGCAAAATGTTATACTATACTATACTATACTATACTATACTATACTATACTATACTGTACTATACTATCCTGACACTAATCAAAAGAAAAGTGGAGTGACTATATTAAAACAAAGTAGATTTCAGAGCAAAGACATCAGTATTTTAGAGATACAGATGGTCATTTAAGATGACATAAGAGCAAATTCTTCAATATTTATATTGCCAAACACTTGTGGATCTACTATCAGAGCATCAATATACATGAAGAAAAACCTGATAGATTGTAAGACAAAATAGAAATATGCACATTTAGACTCAGGGATTTCAGCACCCCCCTATCAGTAACTGATAGGAGAAGTTGATATAGAATCAGTAAGTTTATAGACTTGAACAATGCTCAACCAATTTGATATAATTAAAATTTTCAGAGCATGCTGCTCAACAATAGCAGACTAGGAGTTATTTTCAAGTGTACAGGGAATGTTTAGCAAGATGGATCCTATTTTGAACCATAAAACAATCTCAGTAAATTTTAAAACATTCAAGTCTTGCAATGTGTTATGTGACCGCCATGGATTTAATAAGACAACCATAACACAAATATATCTGAAAAATTTTTAAATAAGTGGAAATTACATAAAACATGTATAAATAAACCGTGGGTCAAAGAAATCCAAAGGGAAATTAAACAGTATTTTGAACTGAATGACAATTCAGAAAACAATAACATATCAAAGTTGGGGGTGTAGTTGAAGCAGTGCTTAGAGGGAAATATATGGCATTAAATGCCTATATTAAAAAAAGAAGAAAATCAGTGACCTCAGTTTCATCCTTAAGAAACTAGAAAAAGAACACATTAGACCAAAAATCAAAGAAGATCCAAACAAATAAAATTATAAATGAAAATGGAGACATCACAATGGATAACAAAGAAATACAAAAGATCATTAGAGGCTACCATGAACAAGTATATGTCAATAAATTTGAAAGCCTAGGAAAAATAGATAAATATGTGGATACATATAACCTTCCAAGATTGAAACAAGAAGAAAAAGGAAACCTAAACAGAACAATAATGAGTTACAATATGTAATTAGTAATAAAACATTCTCCCAACAAAGAAAAGTCTAGAACCAGAGGACTTCACTGCTTAATTGTACCACACCTTTAAAGAAGAATTAATACCAGTCCTTTTCAAACTTTTTAAAAACCTTGAAGCAGAGGTGATTCTTCCTAACTCAATACATGAGGCCAGCATAACCATGATATCAAAACCAAACAAAAACACAACAAAATAGAAAACTACAGACCAATATCCCTGATGAACAGAGATGCAAAAATCCTCAACAAAACACTAGCAAACCAAATACAACACATTTATCCCAAGAATGCCAGGATGATTCAACATGAACAAATCAATAAACACCATACATCACATTAACAGAATGAAGGGAAAAAACCGTTTGGTTTCTCAATAGATGCAAAAAAAATTTTGATAAAATTCAGCATCCCTTCATGATAAACCAAAAGTCAGAGAAAAAAAGAAAGACTAGCGAAGAAATCAACAAAACAGTAAACATAAAACAATAGAGGAAATCAATGAAACCAAAAACAAATTATTTTAGAAGATCAATAAAATGGATAAACCTTTAACCAGACTGAATATTTTTAAAAAAGAGGGCACAAATTATCAATATCAGCTGTGATAAATGGGGCACTACTATGAATCCCACAGACATTCAAAGAATGGTAAGGAAATTTTACAAATAACTTTATACCAATACAGGTAATTTTTCCACATACTGTTTGATAGAATTCTTAATATAGGATTGCTGCTTCACTGATTAAATTTTCTTCTGCCATTCCCATATTAGGTTCAAGTTGGAAGTAGTTAATTATGTGTATAAATAAGGTGGTGAATTGTACTTGCTCTCTAATCTACATTTTTAAAAAGTATCTTAAAACAGCAATCTCATAGGGTATTACACCCATATATTGTGAATGGTCTTTTTATACACCTCTTTCACAGCTCCTTATATGTGTCACACATTGTTGAGAAAAGATTCGAAGTTCTATGACTCTTTCACCAACTTCCTAAGGTAGTGTTGATACAACATCTGTATCAAATAGATACATTCAGAGTTCAATAGAGATGAATGGAAAAATAAATGTTCTCTTTCTACCTTGCTGTCATTCTCTAAATGGCATAACATTTTTCTAAAAGGACATCACTAGCAAATGATAAAAACTGAAAATCCTTTATGTAAAAATTTAGAAATGATGGTGGTGGCTGTACTTAATGCGAATCTACTATACACTGAAATATGGTTAAAATGGTAAATATGCTATGCATAGCATATGTATAACACATATACATAGCATATGTATATTTTAGTACAATAAAAATTGTTTTAGAAAGTAAAAAAAAAAATCAAAGTCAAGAATGATACTTCTGAAGGGAAATAAAGAAGAAAAAATAAAGAAAAAGAGAAAAAAAAGTTAAAAAAAAAACACCTGAAAATCACATTCACAATCTGTAGACTTCAATTTTCAGCTTTTTTCTTTTTTCTTT